TATGATGTCTGAACGATTTTTCAATTTTCAATTTGGGATCTTTTTTCACCATTATTGTTGGATATTTGAATAAAAAATGTTATGAGAATAATACATTTCAAATTTCAAGACTCGCCGATGTTTCAATCAAAAGATACAGCCCCTCAAAAACTCTGCAATATTCATAGCATTTTGGTCAGAATGGACCAAAAAGTGGTTCACGCCGAGTTATCATTTTTTGCTGAACAGCTGCTAATTCCAGGAAGCTCCAACACCTGCGCCGCAGGCGTCGGAGCTTCAGTTGGCAGATCCTCGGGTTAGTAAAACAGCCGATTAGGCGATATTATCATTAAATCTGCAAAGGGAGTACTTACAATTTTGACTTCATAGGTTGCACGACTCCTCAGTGCATAATACCATTACCAATTACTTGAATTTATAATTTGAAGAAGTCTTCGATGGGAAAAAAAATGGTTTTATTCGGTTTCCTACACCAACGATTCTTCCATGTTGCATTTTCAATACATTTATACAGGTGTACATGTAGTTGAAAATTAGGCCTAGGCTCATATGACATCAGTTTCACTTAACAGATTGACCGTATGATGTGTTTGAGAGGTCTTTTTTTTCTTCTTTGAAATTGAACTCTGTGTTGAATGGATGACGTCATTTCCTTCATGACAGGAGACCCTATAGCCGGCTTCTTTCTCTAAACAGAGGAGCTGACCCTAACCAAATAGGAGACTAACAAATGAAGAGAAAGAAATTTTCAGTCTACTTCTTCCCTAACTCCAGGGAGCACCAGAGCCTGCATCGGAAATCGATTCAAACAGCGAGGAGGGGCACATTTTTTTGAAATGTAAAGAAGTAGTAATTACATTTTGACTTAAACATTTTTCGACTCCTCTGGGCATCAGGACAACCACTTATACACTGTAATTATAATTTGAAGACGTCTTTGAAAGGAAAAAAGATGATTCCTCGTCCTTACCCAATTTATCCCACGTTGTGTATCGTTGATTAAAGGGATCGTTTAACAATGTTAAATCTGAGATGCACGGCCCTACGTGTTATCAGTGTCTGTGACATGGTGTTATATTCAGGGGCGTCTCTAGACCTTTTTCAGTGTCGGGGTGTAGAGGCCAACGATTACCGACAAAACTAGCCCCCAATTACCGACAAAATTAAATGTCCCAATATTTACAAATTTAACCCTATATACCCGGGGCCGAAGGCTAAATTGTATTTCCTAAGGACTATCTATAGTACTTGTGTATGCGCAAATGGTCATTTTCCTCTACGACATAAATATACAAATTATATCGTCAACTTAGTCAGCATCATAGCTATATATTTTAATGCAGGCGCGTAGCTAGGATCTTATTTTAGGGAGGGGTGGTAGTGAGCAAGCGATTCACTCAAAACTCGCTCATTAGGGGGTGTGGGTGATAGGCCTCCCGTGCGAAGGGCAGAAGCTTAGACGTTCCTTAAATTATTAGGAAAAGGAGACGATTTATTGTACCGTTCTCGACTGTTAATCCTCGTCTGAATGAACTTCCCCCCTCTCGCGCGAAGCACGAAAGCTTTGGCGTTTCATTAAATTATTATAAAAAGAAGACGATTTGCTGTACTGTTCTCGACTGTTAATCCTTATCTGAATTCATTTTCTCCCCCTCCCGCGCAAAGCGCGGTAAAGCTTTGACATTTCATTAAATTATGAGAAAAAGCAGACGATTGGGTGTACTGTTCTCGACTCTTAATCCTTATCTGAATTCAGTTCCCCCCTCCCGCGAAATTTTGGCGTGTCATTAAATTATTAGAGAAGGTGGACGATTTGCTGTACCGTTCTCGACTGTTAATCCTTATCTGAATTCATTTTCTCCCCCCGCGCAAAGCAGGAAGCTTTGACGTTTCATTAAATTATGAGAAAAAGCAGACGATTGGGAAGTCTAGTTCTGGACCCTATATTGATTTTTGTTATTCGCCGACTATAAGCGTTAAGCCGAGTGATGCGATCCTTAGTGATCGCGAGTCCCCAACTAACTGCGCTAGAATAGGGTCTAGACCAATTGCTCAATGTGACGTCAAGGGTCAACAGTTCACAAACAAGTGATATATAAATATTCATGAAGTTACTGTCAATCAAACTTCGCTCGCGATGTTTTACGTTTTACACGTGGGATTCTAGTCCAGAAAGGGTCAAAAGATCAAGCCTTATTACGTAATTTTGATAGCGCCCAATTATGCATAAACATACACGTACTGCTGTGTGCTATGTGACATTTCGAACTCCCCTTGCCTTATGCACAGATGCCTAGCTAACTATACTTCGCTGCGCGAAACGCTTTCATTTAGCGTTCGCCAGGATTCAACGTTGTCTATTTGCAAGACCCTATTACAAAGCTGTAAGGGTCATTTTTAAAGACGTGCACCGGAAATTGATAAATATTGGAAAATATATAACTTTAAATAATAATTGTGCATTATTGTTGTCATTTTAAATATATTTTGTTTAGAATTCAAATCAATATTTCCACTTTTTTGTGAAATTATCAGCATGCGTTTAGGACGATAGACTAGGCCTTCAACACGCTGATATGAAATAAAGAGGCTCAAAGTCAAATATCATGCTCATATATGTCCATGCTTAGTTTTTGAGATGCCTGCCACTACCAAACTAAGCACAAGTTATTTATTAGAAAGATTCTATCATATCACACAATGACAATATTTCAGAAATTTTAATTTTTTATTGGCCCTTATGACGTATTTTGTTAATAATATTTCAAGGGAACCTTGAACCACCATTAGTTTCGAGTCAAATTAAAGTAGATCAAATTATCTACATTTTGATACCAATCTCAACGGAATTGAAATTAATTAACAACGCAATATTAAGTAAAAGAACATGATTTGTGGGTGATTTTTTCCCCCCAAATTGCATTCTATCCAAAAACGTTATTATCCATATATCAAAATTTGAAGTGCCTTTTTTCATAAGTTTCCAGGAAATTTTGCATGTAAAAATGTGAACTGCATACTCGAGGTGAAGGGGAATTGGGAGAAAGAGGAAGAAAAGGGGAAGGAGACAAGAATAGAAGGGGGAAGACAGAGAGAAGGAGAGAAGACAAGGAGAAGGGAAAAAAGGTAAATTAAAAGGGAGAAGTGCTGATTAAAAGTCAAGGTATTAGCCTTACATGAGTGTTGCACATCATTAACATACATTTATGTTTCCCTTCATATAGTACTTATATAATACTGGTTTGTGCAACTTTATGATTTCCTTAAAAATAACTTGCAAAGCAAGTCATAATTATCCATTTTATGACATTTTAATACTTGTCATCATAGGAAGCCATGCAGTGGCATGTTATCATTGTGTTTATTCCTCTATGAATTAATAACCCTAAAAGTCTTCCAGTTAGGGTGGCAAGTATGTAATGTTCTTGTACAGAGGAGTACCCCCCTCCCCTCTGCATGAGCAATTTCATTGCAATTCGCATTGAACCAAACTTTTATTTTTGTTTAATACAGATTTTTTTAGTTTCCCTTTTTTTTTTATTCCATATTAAAACAAAAAAAATCATGGATGTTGCGTAGAAATGGCTTGCATTTCACACATCTGATAATGTGTTTGAATTCAACCTGAAATTGGCATTTTCCAATAAGAAAGTACATCTCCAAAGTATAAGTCTGAATAATACAATTATAAACTGAACTAGAATGTAGGATGACATAAAATGTGTTACGAAGTCATCCATTACTGGTAAAATAAATCATCATTCACAATAGAGCAGTTAAATGATAATCTCAGATTCTCAGATTAACAAAAAAGACAAATCCACGAGAGTATTGGAAATTTTGGAAAACCAAAAAAAGTAATAAGGCCTCACGAATGTTTTTGTACATCTTTCGTAATTTGAATGTTGCTCAAGTTAAAACAGGTGCACTAAGTACACCAACCCGAAATAGTGTAAACATTGGACATGAATTATGAATTTGCCGTTTGAAATATATGTACAATAAAGTTGTTGATGCAATCGTAATCACCAAGCGAGATGCATGTAACATCGCTAGTATAGTTCAAAAACTTGGAAGTTAGATATGCAATGCCGCTATTGTTTCTATAGTAGTACGTGCATGTACATGTAGCTAGGCCTACATACAGTGTGTGCACCATGGACTTATCAGAGCTGCCAACCATTCCGTTTTTGCCGGAATTACTCCGTTTTTTCCTCCAAATTACGGTATTACGTTTTTTCTTCATAAAATACAATGTACGTTTTTTAATAATTTTTTAATTTTTTTAAATATTTTTTTTATTTATTTTATTTTTTATTTTTTAATTTTTTAATTTTTTAATTTTTTTTTTTTACATACCACACGTCAAACAATTGCCCTTAAATGGTGATTTGATCACGAATTCAATAGAAAACTTATTTTAGAACATACTTGAAGAGAAAAATATTCTCAAAAGAAAATAAATGCCGATAATACCAAAATAACCACCAAAAAAATTACCTGCTTGTATGGAAAAAACAGCATGATGAATGAACATTTCTGCATTGGAAGTGTGTCGCGCGTGGTTGTAAGGTTCTTTTTATGAATTCCCTTTTTTGGCTTGAAATTCCTTTTTTTGGTCGCACAAGGTTGGCAGCTCTTACTTATACAGTGTGATACACTACGCATGTATATAACACAGTAGTTTATATCTTCAGACCTTATTGTATCTTAAGAGGAAATAATGTTAAAAGAGGAAGTTTTAATAGTCATTATACATCTAATTTGAATTTGAAGATTAATTTTGAGACAACATGGCACTTTTTAAGGAATTATATGGTCATTTTCACAGTAAAGGGTGTAACTTTTCTCAAACAGGGTCAAAATTTCAAAATATGTTTTCATAATAATTTCTACTAAAATTAGTATTATAAGTGTCTAAATTATGGATTTTTTTTGGTTCTGGAGCTTAAACTACATGAGAAACCTGGAAAAATAATGAACAACTGTGACAAATATGATAAATTTGAACAAAAACAACATTTTAATTCTATCAACTTAAATGACAACATTTGTTCTCCAAACATAATTCAATTGCTATTTTTCATTTGCTATTCTAATGTACTTAAAGGCTTATAAAGCTTTTTTGGTCAAACTTATTTGGTCTTTAAAAAAATTCAATGCGTTTGTCAAATTCAAGATAAAATATGACTTTGACATTTAATTTTTCAAATTTACCTATCTTCCAAGAGGGGGAGCAAAATACAAATTATTATACAAATACCATTCAGTGAAGGCTAATTACCATGCAAATTCCAAAGAAATCGCATTTCAAATGAGGAAGTTAAAAATTTCTCATGTGTGTGTTTCGGAGGCTTCAGGTTAACAAAATGCCTGTTTCGGAGGCTTCAATCATGTTAACATAAAATGTTGTCCATTACTTAGGTAACATATTAAGAAAAATTCAACTTAAACTGTTAATGATATGTTAAATTACTAATATAACACGTAAAACATTTGTTTACAGTGTAAAAATACTTGTTAATATAAAGTACGGTACATGTATGTTACAAATTATCTTTACTTAATACAATGAGTTTTTTGTTCAGTACGCAAACATTGCAAAGTCACTTAATAGCATCCATGAGGATTTCAAATCTGTGCTGATACTCAGGGAAATATATTGTCAAGTATGTAATTTCCAAGGAAATCACTTTTCTCATATCAAAGTTGAAACATTCAGGAAACATATACATGTATAGGATCAGTTCAAAGTAGTGTTTCGGAGGCTTCAAACATGTTAACACACTATATTGTCAACTACAAAGGCAATATACAAAGCGAAATTTAACCTTCCTTTTGAAGATTCGATAAAATGTTGAACTGAAAGTAAAGTACTTAAAATAATTGTTCACATAGAAACCATTTATGTTAATTCATAGCAATGTATCATTACCCTTCACTTGCGTCTTTGTCATCATTTATTCTTAGTGCAAAGAATTAAATTTCCGCACAGTGGCTTCCACAAACTTGTTTGTTATGTGTTATAACATTTACACTGACATTCATATTTGTGAAACCAATAGCATAGTAAGTATTTACAGGTTTTTGTCCTGGAACACAATTGTGTTCTACTTCTTATTTCAAAGAAATTTATCTGCCAACATGTCCAGTTCTCCTTCTTAAAAATTATAAAGGTAAGCTCTGCCGGCTGGGGTAGGGGTCCTGGTTGGTAGAGTCAGCTTCTGTATTACATCTTTTTTTAGGCTGATGGGCTTCACAGTCCTCTGTAAATTAATACAGACCATTGCTGTTCCGGCGCATGAATTTGACTTTGACATTGTCATCAATCACAGCTTTTACCTACAATGTAGTAGCAAAATAAGAATATATATAGCAAATACAAAATTTCATTAAAACACAGAAGAAACAGCTTTCAGAATGCATTTCACTTCCTTGAAATATCTCACAGTCCCTTATTTGATTTCATTCACCCTGTTAACTTTGTTCAGTACCACAGCATCTGCTCATATATATTTTAGAAAGATCTTATTGTCTATGTATTTCTCAAATAAAGAAAGTTGATCCTGTTAAATGTTTTTTTAATAATCCGAGATCTAACATGGGTAATACTTACGAGAGCCATGAAAACCACCCCATTTGTAGTCCTGCTGCTACATGTAGATGAAGGTGCATCAAAATATATGGCCACATAATCGCTCACATTGATCCTGCAATTGGAGAAGAAAATAGGAAATTAGCAGTTTGTACTGCACAGAACAATGTTAATACATATACCTGAGCTTGGACACTAAAAAACAATAATTTTGTTTGTGCATTACATAATAATTTATTATTTATCCATGTGTTGTTTAAGAATTAGTTTAGTAGTCTATACGGGCACCATCACTAAGTATGCTTAATGTGTACATTACACAAACCTTTAAGTACTAATTAATGACAGACTTGTTTTTATCTGTTTTGACCATGGATTTGCAGGAATAACCTGTTCAAAATTGTAATTTGTACAAGGATTTCATTCCTTATTACTGGTTTACCATTGTGCATAGCCATAGACCTGTTTATGTACACACATGTATATCAGGAGTCTAATTTAAACATTTGGTACTGAGGCAAACTTTAAAGGTCAGGTGACATCCAAATATAAGTTGATTCATGTTTATGTGCAGGGCTGCATACAACTCATAATTTGTTATAAATATATTTCATAGATTTTTAAATATTTTACAATAATTTTCTCAGACCTGCTAAGCTCCACCCTAAATAAATGCTCCAGATTTCATTTATCTATCTGTTAATCATTAGTGAGCTAACAAGAGAAATTGTTATGTAACTTTCTCCAGCTCAGCACATGCTCACAAATACCTCCACGTTACCTTTCTTTTCCTGGTGATGCTACACCACTTCTGACATAGCAACTCGTAAGTTGGTATTGTATGGTCTATTGTAAACAGGTGTCAGCTCTGGTTAAGCTATTATACATACCACTGTCTCTTGTTAGCTCACTAATGATTTACAGATGATGTCACAAGATGAATGAGATTTGGAGCATTTTTCTAGGCTGTGTTACGATATACGATATCCGATATATCCGGTATCCGTCGTAGTTCAATAAACATGGTCACCATCATCACAAACCTGACTGCCGACTCGTCTATTATCATGAGTATCTACCAAATCTAAGACCCTCGAACTCATCAGGCTGCACATCAACAGGAATCAAACTATATTTGGATGTCACCGACCTTTAAAACCACAAACATTGAGTATGATAAAGGGACATGTACAATGTACAATACAGATCGTTACTAGGCCTCACTATATTTTTAGTGACAAATCTAAACTTCAAAAACTTTCACACATCAGTTCCATTACAATGACCCATTAAACAAAAAGTACAAGTTAAGTAATTTAAGGACAAAATATACAGTTCTTACCTCTATATTCCTGTGGATAACAGTAAGGAAATGAGAGAACTGCCTGTAGTGTTCATGCCTGTCTGGAAGAGATGCTATCTAGTATCAGATGTTGCTAGCACATGTTGCTGTAACCTTGTCAATATCTTCATGATCTTCATGGTCTATTGTTGTGGACAAGGTCCGCAGATCGAGTCCTGCCGCGGCACTAATGTCCTTTGGCAAGACACTAATCTACATTTGCCACACTCGACCCAGGTGAGGTAAATTGGGTACCTGGCAGGAATTAATTCCTTGAAATGCTTAAGCGCCGTAATGGAAGCCATGCTAAAGCCGGGGTAATAATTTCCAAATTTGGAAGCGCATAGAGACGTTCAATATGTGCTACACAAGAACTAAATATTATTATTATTATTCCATTGTCTTAAAAGGGGTTGTACACACTGCTACCCAAACATTTCTAGAGGGTTCTTTGCCCACCAAATTTCTCTCCTACTGTTACAAATGGTCTTTGGATGGCATGGCCTATGCCATTTGATCATAAGGGGTTGGCAAAGACCATGATACATGTTGTTAACACTAAATGAAGCCTCCGAAACAAATTGGATAAATATTATGGATGTCTTATAATTTGGGAAAATACAGTGATTCATTTTAATACTTTATATATTAAAATATTCATAAAGCTTGGAAGATTTATATGTATAAACTTTTTTTATTATTTGGTGAATGATTCTTACATTATCAAGGTTTGAAACAGGTGAATACTCCTAGTACTGGTGTAAAATTTCTTTCTGAAATACTGACTATTTGTAAATCATTAAAAAAATAAAGAGCCAATAACATCTAACACATTCCTGTCCTTTAATAGACCAAAACCAAACATTCAATAGGAAAACTGTAAACAATCCCCTATCTATAAAACCACAATAGCCAAAAATATGGTGTTAACTACAGTTCGAAGCCTCCGAAACAAGTTTTTTTGGTTATTAGTAAGTCTTGAAAAAAATTAACTGGATATCTATTTACTTTCAACTTCAAGGGAGCCTGCACATCCTAACCTATGATTGCCATGCAGATTTAACATGAAACACATCGGTCTAGGTATTTAAAAAATGAAAAATAATCTTTTGGCTGTTTCGGAGGCTTCAAGTGTTTCGGAGGCTTCAAGTGCTAACGGAAAGTTTGTATTGTCTGTTATTCTTTAACAGTGGGGAATATCTCAGCTATTTTTTGACAAGTGATTTAGGGGTCCTAATGCTACATTTTGATATAATGATTGGATAAGTTCCTATATTCATATTTGTACAAGCTGTCTGAATAGTTTGTTTCGGAGGCTTCAATTCAGCTAACGGAAAAATGGCGCGACTCAGTCAAGCGTTTAAAAAATTCTTACAAGCAACATGATCAGACAAATTTTGTCATTAGTTGGAAGTATAGATATCAAGTGTTATATCAAGAACAAATGAAATGGTAGAAAGCACTTTTCAAACCAGAGCTCTTGCTATTAAGTTTGTTAACTATTGTTAACGGAAAATGAAGTCTCCGAAACGACAAATAACAACTCTCTGTTCTCAAAAATAGAGGAGCAGTTACAGTTACAACTTCTTTGGCACTTTTTATTGAACATCTAACTTCACATTCTGCATAACAAAAACAATCCTTGCTGTTCCTGAAAAAAATGCAGGGCTTTACAAAAATGTCTATGTATTTTGTGTACATCAATAGGGTCACATTTAGGGTACTTATGTGCCTGCCAAAATTTAACGAAGTAATCCCTGAAGAAGTTTATGCTACCCAAGGTAGCACCCAAGTAGGTTACTCATATGCCAAAATATCTTTGAATTCTGTAGCTTTATAAGATCACTGGAGAAAAAAATGTCCAAATTTCAAAGTTACACCCTTTACCGTGAAAATGACCATATACAATCATTGTATCACTACATCATACCAGATTTCCCCATTACTACTTCAAAATGCTGTCAAGCAAAGACTATTTCTTTGGCTTGGAGGCACGGCCAATTTAATGGATCTCCCTGAAAAATCTCAGGGAAAGTCGTTCACTTGGAGGAATTGGACTGGACCCTATTCTAGCACAGTTAGTGGGGGAATCACGATCACTAAGGATCGCATCACTCGGCTTAACGCTTACAATGTATAGTCGGCAAATAACAAAAATCAATATAGGGTCCAGAAATAGACTAACGATTGGGTGTACTGTTCTCGACTCTTAATCCTTATCTGAATTCAGTTCTCCCCCTCCCGCGAAGTTTCGGCGTGTCATTAAATTATTAGAGAAAGTAGACGATTCGTTAAACCGTGCTCGACTCTAGTCTTAGTTCTTGTCTGAACTCGGTTTACCCTTCCTGCAAGTTTTGAAGTTTCATTAAATTATTATAGAAAGAAGACGCTTCGTTGCACCGTTTGATCGACTCTTAATAAGCCCTATTTATATGAATTCAGTTTCCCCCTCTCGCGCGAAGTGTGGAAGTTTTGACGTTTCATTAAATTATTAGTGAAAGAAGACTATTTGTTTAACCGTGCTCAAATCTTAATCCTTGTCTGAATTCAGTCCCCCCCCTTCCCGCGCAAAGCGCGAAAAAAGCTTGGAAGTTTCCTTAAATTATTAGAGAAAGCAGATGATTCGTTGTACCGTTTTTGACTCTTAATCCTTGTCTGAATTCAGTTTCCCCCTTCGCGCGTGAAGCGCGAAAAAGCTTAGACGTTTCCTTAAATTATTAGAGAAAGCAGACGATTCGTTATACTGTTTTCGACTCTTCTAAATGAAGTTTTCCCCTCCCGCGCAAAGCGCGAAATTTTTTTGTGTTTCATCAAAATATAGAGAAAGGAAGACGATTACAAGTATTGTAGTTGTAGTTACTCTCGAAGTCGTCACAGCTGATAAAAAGTCACAGTTCGTAGGTAAAAAAACTTGTCGGTCGATTGACAATATACATCTCACCGACTTCATACTTCTGCAAGAATACTGACACAGCTGACCCGACACAGCAATTTATTTACCCATGTCTTTGTTGCTCCCTCGATGAGACGACTCCACCCAACAAGTTCCCTCTCTCACCTCTCTTTCATCCCCCGTTTATTTTGTTTCCCTTTTGTCTTTTTTCTTTTCTTTCTTTTTTTTCTTTCTTTTCTTTTTTTTTTTTTTTTTTTTTTTTTTTTTTTTTTTTTTTTTTTTTTTTTTTCCTTTTCTTTCTTTTCTTTCTTTTTTTTTCCTTTTCTTTCTTTCTTTTCTTTTCCTTTCTTTCCTCTCCTCCCTCTTTTTCTTTTTTCTCATCCTTTATTCTTTTTTCTTTCCTTTCTTTCCTTTCTTTTTTCTTTCTTTCTTTCTTTCCTTTCTTTTTCTTTTTTTCTTTTCTTTTCCTTTTCTTTTTTTCTTTTCTTTTCTTTCCCTTTCCCTCTCTTTTTTCCCTCCGCCTTTTCTCTTTTTTTCCCCGACGGCAGTGCAACTTTACCGACAATATCCTGGAGACGCCCCTGGTTATATTGAAGCCCTAAAAAAATTGCGCTTCAAAATGATCAAGAAGTGCCTCTAAAAAGTTAAAAAAAACCTTTGAACGACCGGTTTGACCATACTCGTTTTCCTCAATAGACTGTAGTGTTAATAAAACCTTTTGACAAACGCAAAATTTCACTTCGATTTTCAATCATAAACATCTTGATAATCAGACAGGCGATCGGCTTTCAATTTCAACGGTGCTCTATAGCATGAATATTCATATTTGCTGCACCGCTACCGTGCATGAGAACTTTTCTATGCCATGTTGAATCGAGGATATACATACATGTACGTTTACAACATGGATGAATTGGTTTATGACAAGGAATCACCTATTTTTGCCTCTCATTTTTTTAATATTTAACTTTAGGAGGAAAATAATTCACAGTATCTTGGTTTTGGTTTTTGTCATGCTACATGTACTGACCTGCTGAAAACAAGAAACTCTAACAAAACCCGTTTTAAAACTCGTTTTGGGGGGCTCACCATAACTGGAATAGGGCTTTAAGAATTCTAATACCATCAAGAAATGGGATCGAATATTTAAGATTATACAACACCTACATGGATCCTTGTCATTTGATTGGAGGATTGTTGGTCACATGATATTCAATAGATGTTCTATTGCACAGGCGTACACTTTTGGTTATATACAGTATGACTGCGTAGTGCGTACCTCTCTGCCGCGCGCGTATCCCTGCGTGTATCTGACGCGAAGGCAATCTAAATGTACATGTAATCGAGAAGACTTGAATCCAACTTTAAGTTATCTTTAATATAAGGAGTAAAGCATAATTTGTTGATTAACATATTAATTAGATCTTCTTCGATGTTGTATAAAACAAATAATGAATGTTTTCATTCATTCAATAGTGCAAATATTTTCATTCCTTCAAAGATTAGCATTATTTCTATCAACTCCTGAGAATATTTGCACTATTGAACTCATAACCATTCATTATTTGTATATTACACACCAAGGGGTACAATCATCACAGCATCTATTGCATTGCTAATCAAATAGTGTGTAGTGAAGAATTCATGTACATGTAGATGTACACTGTAGACTGTACAGGTACTACATATAATCATGAATAAGAAAAACAATTGAAGCTGGAATGGAAAATGAGCTCAGAACTTTACTTTAAGTATGGCTCTTTTTATAGACCTATCTAGAAGGCCAAGTGCACCATAACATCAACCCTAACATGATTTGAATAGATAGAGAAAAATCAAACAAGCATAACACTGAAAATTACATCAAAATAAGTTTTAAAATAAGAAAGTTACAGCATTTCTAAGGTTACATTTTGCTATGCATAACATGGTCGGTATGCAATTGAGGAGCCAATGATGTCACACACCCACTATTCCATATGTATTTTATTATATATGAAATTTCAAATATCTCAATTTTGTATAGATTTGATAATAAAGAAGTCAAATTTTGAATTGAATCACAATAAGTTACCACATGATTTGTTCCATGATACTATGATAGTTTTACATTTTTGGAGCAAAAAATTAGAAAATTTGAAATGTTGTACAATAAAATACAATAAAATAGTGGGTGTGTGACATCATACATGTAGGCTCACGCATGACAAAATGTGTATACTGACCATGTTATGCATTAGTACATGTATTTTATGAAACTACATGTTTTACATGTAAAACTTTAAAATGCCATAACTTTCTTATTTTACATCATACTTTGATGAAATTGTTGGTGTTGTGCTTGATTGATTTTTCTTATTCAAATCAACTTGATGTCTAGTTGGACTTCCTCAGATCATTCATGACAAACTCTCTTTCCCCTTCCATACATTAGTGGAGTTAGTTTAGGCTGCATTGTGTACTGTACATGTAGTGCAAGCATAGTAGTATTTTCAGTGATACATGTACATGTAGGTCCATAAAGTGGCTGGGGAGTGGCCTTGTGGTATTTTGCCAGAGGCTTAACCTCATGACCCCATGTACAAGCATGGACCTTCTATGTCCAGTCCATGCTAAACTCTTTATCAAGTCCCTGCATGTACACTGTACAATGTATATACAATCAGGAAGAAGAACAAAAATTGAAGCTGGAATGGAAAATGAGCTCAGAACTTTACTTTAAGTATGGCTCTTTTTTATAGACCTATCTAGAAGGCCAAGTGCACCATAACATCAACCCTAACATGATTTGAATAGATAGAGAAAAATCAAACAAGCATAACACTGAAAATTACATCAAAATAAGTTTTAAAATAAGAAAGTTACAGCATTTCTAAGGTTACATTTTGCTATGCATAACATGGTCGGTATGCAATTGATGAGCCAATGATGTCACACACCCACTATTCCATATGTATTTTGTTATATATGAAATTCAAATATCTCAATTTTGTATAGATTTGATAATAAAGAAGTCAAATTCTGAATTGAATCATAATAAGTTACCACATGATTTGTTCCATGATACTATGATAGTTTTACATTTTTGGAGCAAAAAATTAGAAAATTTGAAATGTTGTACAATAAAATACAATAAAATAGTGGGTGTGTGACATCATACATGTAGGCTCACGCATGACAAAATGTGTATACTGACCATGTTATGCATTAGTACATGTATTTTATGAAACTACATGTTTTACATGTAAAACTTTAAAATGCCATAACTTTCTTATTTTACATCATACTTTGATGAAATTGTTGGTGTTGTGCTTGATTGATTTTTCTTATTCAAATCAACTGGATGTCTAGTTGGACTTCCTCAGATCATTCATGACAAACTCTCTTTCCCCTTCCATACATTAGTGGAGGGGTGTTTGGAAAACGAAGATCGAAGACCGGGGACCATGTGCGCGCACGTACGTGCGTCAAGGAGATGATCCCCGGTCTTCTGTCTTCGTTTTCCAAAACACCCTGGGGTATTTTGGAAAACGAAGATGGAAGACCGGGGATCGTCTCTTCCTCTCTCTCTCCTCGATCTGGTCGGGCGCACATATGCGATTATTAATGATGAAAATACAGTCATCCCTGTCTTAGCGGCCATCTCTCTTTAGAAGACACCTTCCTGTCAGTGGCCAATAGAAATTGGTTTCATGGATATAAATTAGGTGTTTAAGAACCTGTCTGCAGCAGCCACCTG